TTGACTGTATGATCTGGTGAACTGTAAAGTGCCTTGAGATGACGTGTTGTGAATTGGAGCTATATAAATGGTCCACATATGTGAGACCATTTTTTTCTATGATCTTTTTGCTGCTTTAAACACCAGAATTTCCCCATTGTGGGACAGTAAAGGAATGTTCTATTCTGTTCTATAAAAGTGGTAGAAAGATATAAGTAAATCTAAACAATGTATGTATGAAAAATATATCTGCAAAATCTCTTATAACGGTATTAAACAACAAAAAATACTTAGTTAAGCAAAGTGTGCAAAATAGCAATTAAAAATTACAAATCATATCAGATTTATAGTCCCCACACTGCATATAAGAATCTGTCCTTAAATTATAACCCATTTAAATAGTAACAGATAAAAACATTTAGATAAATCAAACATTATCTGCCACATATCTGACTCAATAACCATTTAAAACATTCATTCATTTCAGACGGAACTATTCACATTCAAGTATTATATTAAACTGAACTTCCAATATTCACAGCTATTCCGCACCAAATACCTATTTCCTCTGATCGAGGTGCAACCAGCTTGCTTGGTCTCGCAATGAAACCTAGGATAACCAAGGCTAGATGGGATACACCGGACCCATCCTTCAAATTGGCAAAAGAAGGACACATTTGTCGGCCTCATAACGAGGAGTCATGGAATCTGACCAGTCTTAACAGTTCAGCTGTCTGAACTGAACTAACCAATTTGGCTCCCTAGGAGAGATTTTAGGTGACACCCACTTTGCATTGCTGCACAGTACTTACATTGTCTGCTAATGTACATATACACAAAAGAAACTAAAATGCTTTATCTTGGACTATTTTACATAAAACAATATTCATATACTTATAAAATACTTAGAAATACTTGAAGAAACAAATAAAAAAAAAGAACTCAACATCGGAAATATAATATAGATACCGTAGCTTAAATAAAGCATTACATTTAGATACCCCCCCAAAAAACTTTAAACAACTGACATTGAATTAAATATACATAAATATAAGCTTGTAAGTTCAGACCAAAAGGCAGACCAAAAACACCACCTGTGGTGTAATCTGTTAAAAACTGCCTTGTTTGGGCATTCAGGTGGCACAGCAGTTGGCCCACATGACCCATGTACAGAGCCTTGGTCCTCCACGAGGCCAGCCCGGGTTAGAATTCGACTTGTGATCCTTTGCTGCATGTCTCTCCCCCTCTCTCATGCCCCCTTTCCTGTCAGCCTACTGTTGAAAAAATGAGCCACTAGTGCCTCAAAAACTCAAAAAAAAAAAAACTGTCTTGTTTTATTGTGGAGGGCTGAACCAAAAGCACTTCAAGTACTTCCGGTTGTTCTTAAGAGGCAAAAAATAATAAAGAGATGGAGTTGCTCTACAACGGGTTACCTGGCTTCTTTTCAAAATCGAGAAAACATCTCTGAGACAAAGTGTAATAAGATTATGAATGTTATGCGCTGTCTTGCAGGACTTAGTTGCAATACAGATAACAGTGTTCTATTCATAATATATAGAGCAATGGTCGAATATTAATTTGATTATTATTGTAATTCTTTACTATCAGGAATTGTACAAGCTGTATTCAAAACCTTCAGCTGATCCAAAATACTGCAGCCAAAGTTCTGATGAAAACTAAAAAGAAAGATCAAAGCTCTCCTATCCTAGCTTCTTTTCATTGGCCTCCTGTTAAATCCAGGATAGAATTTATTGGCCAAGCTTAACTTTATATCCGAGATATGATTGTTTCTTATGTTCCTAACAGAAAACTTTGCTCTCAATCTGCAAGTGTACTAGTGGTTACTAGAATTTCTAAAAGTAGAATGAGAGGCAAATATTTTCATTACAAGGCTTCCCTTCTGTGGAACCAACTACCAGTTTTAATCTGTGAGGCAGACACCCTAACCTTAAAATTTTAAGGCAAGGCTTCAAACTTTCCTTTTTCATAAAGCTTACAGTTATAGTGGCTCCAGTTATCCAGTGCTATCTCTACAGTTATGCTGCTATGGGTTTAGACTGCTGGAGGACATAGGGACCCCTTTTTCATCATTCCGTTTCATTTTATCTCTATTCTCCCACTTTGCAGAATTTGTTAGTTTAATCTCTATCGTTATGTTGTCTCTGCTTTTTTCTCATAGTAGCTTCATCTTGTCCGTTTCTGTTTGGCTGTGTTGGGATATTAAGTTCATTTCCCATTCAGGTAGGATGTCATATTAATGTTGTAAATTTATATTCTATTCAATTCCCAGCCAGCTGGGAATTTATATTTCTGTTACTTTAAGATGTTTATTGCCCTCCCCTGTAGGAGTGGGAAATATCTTATTTAATCAGATATTATTTCAATTCAATTCAGTTTATTTATACAGCGCCAATTCACAACACATGTCATCTCAAGGCACTTTACAGTTCACCAAATCATACAGTCAAATTGATTCAAAGTTTTCTATCTAAGGAAAACCAGTTGATTGCATCGACTCATTGACTCAAATACAATCCCTCACAC